TTTACAATTACATGGGTTGAACCCATAACCGATAATCAAACGCTCATTCAACCATATATCTAACCTAAATCTTACATCGGTTTACAATTACATGGGTTGAACCCACAACTGATAATCAAACGCTCACTAAACTATATATCATCAACCAATCTCACATCGGTTCACAATTACATGGGTTCAACCCAAAAACCGTAATCAAACTCACTAAACTATATATCATCAACCAATCTCACATCGGTTCACAATTACATGGGTTCAACCCAAAAACCGTAATCAAACACTAACTAAACCATATATCATCAACCAATCTCACATCGGTTCACAATTACATGGGTTCAACCCAAAAACCGTAGTCAAACACTCACTAAACTATATATCATCAACCAACCTCACATCGGTTCACAATTACAGGGGTTCAACCCAAAAACCGTAATCAAACACTCAGTAAACCATATATCATCAACAAATCTCACATCGGTTCACAATTACATGTGTTCAACCCAAAAACCATAATCAAACAGTCACTAAACCATATATCATCAAGCAAACTCACATCGGTTCACAATTACATGGGTTCAAGCCAAAAACCGTAATCAAACACTAAGTAAACCATATATCATCAAGCAATCTCACATCGGGTCACAATTACATGGGTTCAACCCAAAAACCGTAATCAAACACTCACTAAACCATATATCCTCAACCAATCTCACATCGGATCACAATTACATGGGTTGAACCCAAAATCGATAATTAAACGCTCATTCAACCATATACCTAATCTCAATCTCACATCGGTTTACAATTACATGGGTTTAACCCACAACCGATAATCAAACTCTCATTCAACCATATACCTAACTTAATTCTCACATCGGTTTACAATTACTTGGGTTGAACCCACAATCGATAATCAAACGCTCACTAAACTATATATCATCAACCAATCTCACATAGGTTCACAATTACATGGGTTCAACCCTAAAGCCGTAATCAAACTCACTAAACTATATATCATCAACCAATCTCACATCGGTTCACAATTACATGGGTTCAACCCAAAAACCGTAATCAAACATTCACTAAACCATATATCATCAACCAATCTCACATGGGTTCACATTACATGGGTTCAACCCAAAAACCGTAGTCAAACATTCACTAAACTATATATCATCAACCAACCTCACATCGGTTCACAATTACATGGGTTCAACCCAAAAGCCGCAATCAAACACTCACTAAACTATATATCATCAACAAATCTCACATCGGTTCACAATTACATGGGTTCAACCCTGATGCGACCTCACTCACCCCGCATGACGTCACTCGATCTCAAACTAGATATCTACATGGACCATGGTTCAAGAGACGATTTAAGAGGTTTAAAGAGAGCTTGGAAGCATTCAAGGTGGAAGAAAAGGTCATTGCAAGCAAGGCCTACGAGTTTGTTGAAGTGAAATCAATTGGCAGAATATATAATTCTCGTGGTCCAAAGATGAAGGTCCGAGTACGACGATACAAGGATCAAATGGGATCATTCTTGATGGACGTGGACTTGCTAGAAGGAAAGTCCATCACGTTGCTACGATTTATGGACTAGAATGAAGAGAAGATGGGCTTGGTAGAAGGAAGGAAGATCTCCCATGGTGTGAACACAAGGTGTGAAAAGGAGTACAAGTGTGAAAGGAATATCAGGTGTGAACACAAGCCATGTGAGGGAGGATTGCAAGGCTAGAATCTAGGGAGTTGTTGACCAAGTCTTTTACTTGTCTTTTAAGGATTGTGTTTTTCCTTTTACTTGGAGGACTTGTTTTTCATTTTAAGCTTTGGATTTGTGTTAGCTAGTCTATAAATATGAGGCTGAGTTCCTCATTGTAACTCATTCTATTATCAATCAACTTTCAAGTTTCAAGTTCAAACGAACTGGTTCTTTGTGCAAGCTTCTGTCGAGAGTGCTTCAGAGGTTTCACGTGTCTCTTATCAACTAGAGAACGCGTCTAGTTGTGGCGAGCTTCTACCCTATATCAATTGCCCCTTTCCACGAGTTGGTGTTGTCCGATTGGTTTAATATACCAATTGCCCTTCATCACGAGTTAGGAATTGTCCGATTGATTCCGCATCTATCTTTATTTTTTCGAGTTCAAGAAAGGCGACATCAGAAAATCATAAAAATATCGTTGAAGCTGCGTACTTTGATCACATCAAACCCAAAAACCGTAATCAAACAGTCACTAAACCATATATCATCAACCAATATCACATCGGTTCACAATTACATGGGTTCAACCCAAAAACCGTAATCAAACAATAAGTAAACCATATATCATAAACCAATCTCACATCGGTTCACAATTACATGGGTTCAACCCAAAAACCGTAATCAAATACTCACTAAACCATATATCATCAACGAATCTCACATCGGATCACAATTACATGGGTTGAACCCAAAACCGATAACCATACGCTCCTTCAACCATATACCTAATCTCAATCTCACATCGGTTTACAATTACATGGGTTGAACCCAAAACCGATAATCAGACGCTCATTCAACCATATGTAGTTAAAGGCAAACGGACAATGAATTTTTCAAAACATGTTTAGCTCCGAATCAAATGACGGTTGGATGTTTTCCCCCTCTTGAATACTAACCGATGATAGCTGATTTGTTTGATTGTCTGATGCTTTATGTGTTTGATAACTTTGATTGAATCATATTTAGATGGTAGCACAAGTCCTGGCCTATAGACTTTGAAAGTTCGATGGTATATAGGATTTGCACATGTTATTTATGTTGTCTATGTGTGTTTTGTTTGGTATTCTAACATGAACTATCTAGAAGAACACTCAAACTACTACTTCGAGCAGTGGAGGAGCCACAAGTAGAGGAGCGGGGTACCAGGACCTCACTTTGGAAAAAACGGGGCAACAAAACTCTTTAGATATATATGGTTTAGTATGATCTTTTGTATTTAGGACCCCATACTTTTGTTGATGTTAGCTCATTTAAGGACACCAATCAACTCAAAGTTCATTGGATATACATACTAAAACGTTTTAAAATTTTTAAGGACCCCAGTCAATTCAAATTCTAGCTACGCCACTGACTCCGAGTATGATTATAATGTATTGAAAACATAAGAAAGACAAACTGACTAACAAAGAAATGCAACTAATAGTGACTTATATAATTATAAACAAAATATTGCCTACATAAAAGTCACAAATGATAACACGAAAGTTGATTCTTATGATACATACATAATCATTTTCTTTGAAGGAGTTCAATGTATCCATGCTTATTTTTCTTTAATTTTTTCTTGGCAAAATAAGGTTTGCACTTTGTGACAATAATAGCCAATTTTTAAAAAATACACAGATATAGCCATTCCGTCAATAACTTTGACGGCACTTCAGTAAATGCTGACTGGACTAACGTTTTTTTACGATGTGGCATTTCTTCGTCAAAAATCATGCCAAGTGGAAATTATCAATTTTCTTTAAGTTTATTAAAAACCCCCAACTATGTTTCTTCCGTCCCTTTCACTTCTTCCCCTTCCTCTTCTCTTGAGTTTCCACCACCGCCGCCACTGCAAATCATCCAGCCGCACCTACCAGCTCCATCGCCGACTAGAAGCCTGGTCAATCAACCATCCGCCGACAAATCGACGACCTTGATTCACCAAGTCTATTCCCTCCTTCTCTCAGCTATAAATACCCAACCAATCCCTAGTCGATTCATCTTCCATTTTCTCGATGAAATACTCACCCAATCAATGTAGTCAAAATCCCGATTTTAATCTTAAAATCTTACGATTTTACGATTTTACCTATGGGTTCCGATCCTGATTTTACTGTAAAATCTTTGAACCTTAAAATCCCATAAAATCCCGATTTAAAACTCTAAAATCCATAAAATCTACGATTTCTACGATTTTGTACGATTTCAAGGTTCATATAAATTGGATCAAAATTAGGCCGGTCAAGTTGGGTTATGCCCATGAACCGAGTCAAATTTACTTTCCCCAACCCAACATAATGAACAACACAACCCCAACCTGAAAGTTAACCCTCAATTTATTTTCATTCTCTTCCTCGTATCTTTCTCTTTCGCACGTCGGCGCCCAACTCCTTCCATCAACGATATCTTCCACCCTCCCAATTAGCTTGTAGTTTGTTCCCACCACCCTCACAATAATCCAAATATCCATTACATTGCAAGCTTTTGTTCATCTCCCAATTCTTCAGCACCACTAACCCGACCTTTTATCAATTAAGAAGGGAATGCATCAATCAATGAGTTATCTTTTCCAGATGATGGTAATCAAGAAAATATGGTTAATGGTGAAAGTACTTCAAGTGATCATAAGAGTAATGATATTAGTCCTTAAACAAATAAAAACGATGAGAGTGAGGGTGAGGTTGAGGATGATGACGATGATGTGTAAGTGATGTTAATGTTGATCCTAACGATCTTATGTGATTTTTTACTCTTAACAATTAATTAACAGTGATATCTATAATGTTTCATGTTTCTTATTTGTGTGTTTCTATTATGTACAAGAAAAATATATGGATTAGTTGTGTTTGTTTAGCAAACAAACTTATCTTGGGAAGTAATTATGCTTTATGTGGTTGATTGTTATTCAAGATATGCATTTTTATCACTATCTAGTGTTTTAAGTATTTATTTTAATATGAACCTTTAAATCTTACGATTTTACGATTTTAATCTACGATTTCGATTCTACCTCAGTTTTCGATTTTACTTAAAATCTAGATTTTGACTGCATTGCACCCAATAACCATTATTAGCATCGACGAACATACGCCAGTCGGCGGCTGAAGAGAGGATGAGAAAGACAAAGAAGGAGCACTCTGAAGGGAAGACAAAGACGAGATGCGATGCGGATCAGGAGATAGGGTGCTAGATCTAGAAGTCGGAGTGCCGAACGGGGATTTGCAGTGCCAGATCTAAAGGATCTAAGAAATCCAGTGATGAGTAGGCGTGGATTGGAGAGATTGTGATGGGTTAGTACCCGCCGGTTGTGATGGCTGCGACTTCATGAGTTTGGTTCTGGTGCTGGTGACGATGGTTTCTCCTGTTGTGGTTTCTCTAGTGGCGGCAGCAGCAGCGGCGATGGGTCCTTTGTTTGCTCAGTATGTGGAGGTGGCGATGTTTCAGTTGCTCCTTCTGCTTCGGGATTCGTCCGGTGGTGATCCACCGCCAAAAGGTAGTTGTTATGGCAGGTCGAAGGGAGATTCTGAATTGGAGCATATGATGGTTGAGGGACATCGATGTAGTGATCATGAATCCCTGTGAAAAAAATTCATCATTGATGAAGCGAAAATCATGTGGTAGACAAGAAGGGAGCATCCAAACCAGACGAGAATGGCTTGGCTAGGAGGAATCTGTCTCCTCTTTGTTCTTTTACGAACCCTAAACATAAATGGAGAAATCCAGCGGCGGCGGAAGGACAAAATTAAATTTGTGATTTTTTACATTTTAATATGACATGGCGTCTAGCTGGCAGGGTATATTTAGTTAGAGCTGACGTGTAACTTGAGGTGGCATCCACATCAGCGTTAGTTTTATGTTATGGACGGGGTCACTAACGGTGTTAATGTTTTTAACAAAAATGGCTAACTTTGTCAAACATGTTTTCAAATGGCTATATCTGTGTTTTTTTTTTAATTGGCTTTTGTTGTCACAAAGTGCAAAGTTATGATTATGCAAGTGTATTTTGCCTTTTTGTCTTCTTTGTTGATCATAACACGAATTATTCATTGAAATTCTATGATTTGAATGGAAAAATGGCTAGTACTAAACTGACAAATACTAGTGTCTATTTGATCTCCAATCAACATATCTTCAATATGATCAATAACGATGTAGTAATTTCTATGCATCTCTCACGATTATGGTAATCATAATTTTCAAATGAGCCAATTGAAATAAGAGAGACGTAGTAAAGTAGGGAGACAATAACATATAAACATAGTTATCTATTATTTAATTTCTTACCATTTTCAAGGGAAATTATTGAAATGAATTTAGGTCTTTAAACAAATGTGTACAAATAGTTTACGTAGATATGTTCTTTAACATTTGCATTCATTGTTCAAAATCTAAGTTAAGTTTTGCATGAATTTTTGAGATGGTAGTGTACATATAACTAATTTTATTTGGTTTAAATATATTTATTGAACAACGACAACTTAAGGATTCAGCTCAAGGTGCAATTGTTGGCAATTTTATTTTCTAAAACTATTCAGTTCCGACATAACTCTACAAAAGCAAAGAGAGCTAGTTGATGATGAAATTTAGAGTGGACAGAGATGCGAAAAGTGCAAGCATAATTGGTGAATCGCTCCAAAGTTGAGTCTGAGTCGCATTTGCAGGCAACTTGTCAGTAAATCTAGTTGTTGACGCTTTCAAAAATGAATAAGTATCTGAAACATTGTTACAAAAAGGAATTTGTCAATGCTAATTCTCACCATAAAAATAAACGAACTCAAATTCCATCCAATATGGCTGCTAAATCCATTCCCAGCTCCTAGGGGTGGGAAACGGTGCGGTTACGGTTAACCGCAACCGCATAAGAGGAAAATCGCCAACTGTTACCACACCGCACACGATTTGCGGTTAACCACTAAACGCACGTCACGGTTAGCGGTTAGTTGCAGTTAAGTGCGCTGCTAACTGCACAACGAAAGAAAACCGAACTAACCACGAAAACCGCAATCAACCGCAAAATGGTAAAAAAACCACACAAAAACTGGAAAATCAGAGCATGCATTTGTAAACTAACACCAAAACAAGAAAAAGTAACTGAAAAATTCTAGAATATAACATTCATATTAAAATCCAAAGAAACCGTTCGTCGTTCGCGTTCCGGCTTTGCGAAGTGGGGTATGGGAGTGGGGATGCACTGATGGCGGCGACAGGTGGAAGTGGAAACCCTAAACTAATTCAGATGGAGACGGATTAGGGTGTTTCAATTTCAAAGCTCCATTGGGCTTTGACATTTCACCTTTGGGCAGGTAATGGTTAATGGGCTCTTGCCCAATGCGGTTAATTATGCGGCTATCGTGTTGATCAGTTCCATTAGCGGTTAGTCTACAAATTGCACAGTACCCAATATCGCTAACCGCGACCACATAAGCCCTCTTTATACGGTTAATGGTTAACCGCAAATCGCGCTTATTCGATGCCGTTTTGGTTTAACCGCAACTGTTTTCCCACCCCTACCAGCTCCCCACTTATATATGTGCATTCAGATAATTATCTGTTCAACATGCACTTCTTTGAGCAATCTCATTTTCTCTAAATCATCGAGTTGTTACAAATTTAGCTGATCACAACTTCAAAGTTCATGTATTTATTTCCCCTGAAAGAAACAAGGTCGTACGAAATTAAGTAGAAACAACTATCTTTTCTTTCGTGTGTTTATTAAACTAGCAAAAAATTTATAACAAACAAATTGAATTGATGCTAATAATGTGATCATCCTGCTAGAATGAATCCCCCTCACATACCAAAATTTGTTGCGGTTACTTAAACCGTGTTAGTATTGGGCCTTGTTCGAGTCGTCGTAGGTATATTTGGATGTACTCGACTCTTCTCATTAGGGTTTTAACCCTAAGTTTTTCTGTATATAAGCTTAGGTATGGACTTGTGTGATAATAAGCCATCAAGATGTAATCCTAATAAGAGGTAAAGAGCTCACTATGGATTAGTCATGTTCACGTCGAATAGGGATACCATGTAAAACTCTTGTGTTCTGTGTTCGTTTCAATTCCACATCATCAAATTCTTAACGGTATCAGAGCTGGTTTAGATCCAAAACCCTAAATATTTTTTTTCATATAGCCACTGATCATGAGCTGCTATTCTTCATCCAAAAACTTCCGCCATCAATCGTCAAGTTGGAGTTCTGTCTTTCAACTTTTATGCTGAAGTTTGTCTGATGGTCACACCTAGATCAATTGGCCGCAGTTACTGCCTCATTAGCTCTAGCGGCGTGGTTGTCATCTTGAAGGTCATCAAATCTTCCTGGCGTGGTTTTAACCCTACTCTCCAACCCAACAGCAAATCCGGTCACCCCGACGTCTTAAATCTACCATCTCGGGTCCGCAATCAGTCAAAGCCTCCTGGAGTATTTCCCTCACAAGTTCATCGACAGATAAGGAGATCCTTTCCATTGTCGTCTTGCACCAGAGCCCTCTCCAGTTGGCCAATCAACTGCGCAAACTCGTCCATCTCCAGGTTTTGTTGTTGTTATGTGGGACTCGTTTCTCTGAACAATAAAATTTTGCTCCTTTTATTTCGTGAGTCTGTTTGGTTGATTAGTTTGGAGAGTGGAGACCGGTTACTGGGAGTATGTTGTGTTAATAGAGTTATATTGTCATCATATTTTCTTGCATTGTGTTGGTGGTGGAAATTAAAAGGGTTTTCAGTTGGCATCATCTAAGTTCGCCACTTGTTTTAGCTTTTGGTCGACCTTAGTTGGCCGTTGTCTCATCTACGTTGCAGTCGAGTCGTCAAGAAGCACAGTCGCATCTTGACATTTATCTGCAACAAGCCAGTCCGCCATCGTCCAGGCCACTAAGATTTGGCGAGTTTCATCTTAAAAGGACTTCTATGAAAGAAGCTGATCATCATGGTTTGTTCATAGATCTTGGGAAGTCATTTTCATTTGTCACCAGCAATCGTCGTCATATACCGCCAGTCCCATGATTCACATTTTGCTACCAGTTGAGCACAGTCTTCAGCGCACCAGCGAAGTTCATCCCGCTGGCTTATTCTCTTCATAAGTGATGTTATTCCGCTGAGCATAGTCTAGTCGTTTGGAGAGCCAATGTCCACTCCGGTCTCCAACGCCGAATCCATGCTGACGACGAAGTCCTTCCCGTTGTCAGTCTTCCTTACTTGCCTACAGGAGTGCCGACACCCACTACTGCCTCTGGCATTCACGATCCATAAAATGGTCGTCCCCTAGCGTTCAAAAGGTAGTACGATCAGAGAAGTCATCGTCCCTTCCTCGTCTAGCTGGCATTCATGATCCAAGAAATGGTCTTCCCCTCTTTCGGTTCATTATTGGGCACATATAACCATTCATCATTTTTCAAGCCGGGCATCCACGATGTTCATGCTCCAACTTGAGGGGGAGAATAGAAGGTCAACATACGTCGGTCGACTAACTCAGTCCTCAGGTGGACCACGATGTACCAAGTGTTTTCAAGTTCAAGAGACACAGTCAACCGTCTTCATCATCAGGTTGTTCAGAGAGAGAGAGAGTCATTCATCTCCAATCAACCTCGTTCGAGATATTATTCATCTCGAGTTTTGTTGTTCGAGCCATCATGTTTGTTCACATTTCCTTATTCAAGCTCGACATTCTTGTCATTCAAGTCTTCGCTTGAGGAGGAGTGTTACGGTTACTTAAACCGTGTTAGTATTGGGCCTTGTCTGAGTCGTCGTAGGTCCGAATATTTGGCCGCACTCGACTCTTCTCGTTAGGGTTTTAACCCTGTCTTTCTCTATATAAGCTTAACTATAGACATGTGTGATAGTAAGCTGTCAAGATGTAATCCTTATAAGAGATCAGACGTGAGCTCTTTCGAGCTCACCGTGGATTAGTCATGTTTACGTCGAACAGGATACCACTTAAAACTATTGTGTTCTGTGTTTGTTTCAATTCCGCTTATTGGGTCCAACTAGTTTATGGCATGGTATCAGAGCTAGTTTGTTTGTGAGGTCACGTGTTCAAGTCCTCACGGGCCCCAATATTAACCGTTGTCTTTCAAGCACATGGTATGGCGGGCTTGTGCAAACTTCAAGCCCATGAGTCGTCTTTCGTTTGAGGGGGCTTGTAATGAAGTGGTTAAGTACCATACATGGCCTGGATAAGATCCAGCATAACCTTCTCCCAACAACTCGAGTTATAGGGACCAACTGGTTAATGACAAAACTTGAATATAGTTTTTTTTATCCAATGCTACTATCCATCCGTTCCATTCAACAAACCACACAAAAGCAGTGGCGTAGCTAGGAATTATGTCAAGGTGGGTAAAAAAATAATTTATATTAATCTTTTACAATGACCCACGACGTGTTTTCATAACATGAAAAATATCTAAAATATATTCATCATCCAAACTATCAAGGATGTCACTCTCAATGTAACCAACTAAAAAATCGTTCATGATATCATCACTCATCCTATTTCGAAGCGTGTTCTTCATATAGTTCATTCTAGAAAATGTTCTTTTAACACTTTTCGTGACAATAGGAAGCAACAATGCCAATTTCAGAAATCCATAGATTAATGGCAACACAAGGATTCAATGTTCATTTTATGTAAAGAACACCAGGATTGGGTGGGGAGATAGGGATTGGGGAGGGAACTGGGAAGGCAGAACATAGGGCTTGGATGGGAGAATAGGTGAGGTTGTTTAATTTATGCAAACAAACATGTCGTAAAGAATAAAAACAATCA